CACATTAACACACACAGACACCCACACATAAACACACACAGACACACACACACATAAACACACACAGACACACATAAACACACACAGACGCATGCATACGTACACACACACACAATCACTACATAGTTATGCATGTTCTCATTGTTTGAGAAAATATTTCTCCCATAGACTAAATCCTTATCCATTCAAGCAGACAAATAATCTTTCGCCTAATGCTATGCATGGTCACAGACAGACAGACACAGACAGACAGACAGACAGAGAGAGAGAGAGAGAAAGTAAGTGAAAAAAAAAGAAAAAACCAAAAAAAGAGAAATATAATAAACTATATTATTGTAAAAAATGCGAAAATTGAAATAAAACAAAGTAAAAATAATATGTAAAAGAGAGAGAGAGAAAGAGAAAAAGAGAAAGAGAGAGGGAGAGAGAGAAAGAGAGAGGGAGAGAGGAACATGTGAACATCGTATTAATTTCCACAGGAAATATATGGAAGGGACGCGAGTAAACTGGGAAAATTCAATTCAGATTATTCATTGTATGTGCTCACTAGTGTAAAGTGAAACAAAAAACATACAAATATACATACATACATACATACATACATACATACATACATACATACATACATACATACATACATACATAAATACAGATATACATACAGACAAGCAAACATTCATACAAAATAAATTACTCCATGTTACCGGTTTGACACAAGCGTGTTATGCCTATTGTAGGAAATATAAATTGGTTCGTTCATTCATTCGTTCATTCATCCATCCATTTTTCTTTTATTTGTTCGTTGGTTTATTCATTTATTCATTCATTTCCCGGTCACTTGTTTGTTCGTTCATTTGTTCGACCATTCATTCATTCATTCATTCATTCATTCATTCATTCATTCATTCATTCATTCATTCATCCATTCATTCATTCAGTACAAATTGAATTTACTCTCTCAGTTATTCATCATTCCTTTTTATGTTAAATTGTTCACTCAATCAATCGGTCATTTATCATTTGACTATTTTTGTAACACCAAACTCATTTATTTTTGCATTCAGTCACTCTCATTTCGCTGGTAACAATCCTTCTTTCATTTATCAATAAACTCGTTCATTCAATCTTTCATTCACTAAATCATTCACTCACATTCATTCGTTCGTTCGTTCGTTTATTCATTCATTCACTCATTCATTCACTCATTCATTCACTCATTCATTCACTCACTCATTCATTCATTCATTCATTTATTCCTTCATCCATTCTTTCATTTTTTTAAATCTTTATTATTAATTCATCCATTCACTCGTTCATTCACTCGTTCATTCAGTTTCTCATTAATTCATTAATTCATTTATTTATTTATTTATTTATTCATTCATTCATTCATTTACTCATTCATTCATTGTTATAAAAATCATTCATCAAAAAATATAGATATATTGATCAGATAAGGGCGAACTGGCTTTGAATGCCTAATGAACGAATCCGTAAGCCAAGCTGGAAATTAAGGTCAAAATCCCCATCATCATCACCAACATCGTCATCACCATCATCATCCCCATCATCACCATCATCGTTGTCACTACTATTGCGACATTGTAGTTTATACCATTCTCACTTTCATCATCATCCACATCATCGTCATTGCAATTAGCAGCAGCTATCATCATCATCATCGTCGTCATAATCATCATCATCGTCGTCATAATCATCATCATCGTCGTCGTCGTCATCATCATCGGGACGATACCTAGGGCAAGAAGGGATAATTTGACCTTCTTCGATTTGTTCGGTCCGCAGCACAAGAAATCCATGATGATGATGATGACGATGATGATGACTAAGACGATGATGATAACGATGACAAAGACGACGATGATGGTGGTGCTATGTTATCTATTTTCTGTTTTTTATAACAAACATCATCAACGTATTATTGTTAGTTAAATTTATCTCAAACATGTGAAATAATTTCCTAATAAATTAAACAGTTATAGTTCACGATTATTTTAAAGAAACAATAATTTGTCTATTTATTTGATTAATTAATTAATTAATTAATTAATGTATTTATTATTCAAGTCTTATTTAAGTTTAAATCAATGTTTTATAAATCCTTGAAAAAGTCCGACACAAATTAATGGAAAAATTTGGAAAAAACAAACGAATCAAGTAGCGGTCAGCCAGCCCTCAGCAGCTTATAACTGTCATTCTCTCGCATCTCTCTCTCTCTCACACTCACTTCTTCTCTCTCTCCGTCTCTCTCTCTCTCTCTTTCTTGTTTTTGTTCTTTTTGTTTCAACAGTTTTGAATGTTAAATGTATTAATAATTTTTTTTATCAGACGAAACTAAATGTCTAATTGGTTAACTCTTATTATTTCTATCAAATTCTAATCTCTCCTTCTATCTCTCTCTCTCTCTCTCTCTCCTTCTATCTCTCTCTCTCTCTCTCTCTCCTCTCTCTCTCTTTCCCCCTCTCTTTCTCTCTCTCTCTCTCACTGGAGTACTATCATTATTTTTACCATCGTCATCGTTATCTTTATTGTCACATTTACAACACTATTAAATGATAATTATACTAAAAACCAATAAAAATTATTATTATTTTCAGTTTTATTTTGCGAAATAAATTGAGCCATATCACACCTTGGATTGATATCCAAAAAGTTTATGATACCTATCATAATTAGAACTTAGATACACAAGGTTAAACAAAGACATACAAAAAAGGTACTAAAGCATACGGAAGATATACACGATAATACAATGAAATACATAAGTATAAGTTTGTTCAAAAGTTTCACGGCAATCAATTATAATTTAATTACACAATGAGTGATATACAAAAATTTATCAAAAGATACAAAAGTATCAAAAGCTAGGCAAATGATATACAAAAAATATACAATGGTTTAGAAAAATATACAATTGCGTACAGAGATACATTAAGATTAGACAAGCTAGGTTTACAAAATTTAACAGGCAAATAAAAAATTTCCACGGAGCGCCCTTGTAAAAATAAAAAAAATGCTAATAGAATTACCATTGTTACCGTATTATTTAAAGGATTTTCTGAATGATTTTAACATGAATATTGCTTTTTGTATCTACATAAACTAACTTATTAGGATTAAATTGAATATTGATTGCATTTGAATTTGTATCAAGAGTTTGAATTTGTGTAAAGATGAAAGTTTCAGAAAGATGGAAGAACTGTATCGCCATTGGCAAACAGCTCAGCGGAACAAGGTTCATATCGTTCAAAACGCCACTAGACGACGAGTACTTCACTCATCATCTGCCACCAAATCTGGCCCCATTCACGCCAAATTTGTTGGTTGATGAAGTCAAAAGGCAGAACTTCAGTTTGGGATTGCTTATTGATTTAATCAAGGGAAAAAATTATTACAATGAGAGATCGCTAACAAATTTTGGGATAGAATACAAAAAGATTTACATTTGTGGATGTAAGTTATCAGACGCCAGGCTCGTTCGAGAATTTTTTGAAACAGTAGACAGCTTTTTAGAGAAAAATAAAAATAATTCGCATCTTAGTGGAATGCATTGCAGATATGTCGTTACATGATGAACAAGATGAGCGTATCCCCAGATGAATGTCTAAGAACATTCGGTGATTGTCGTGGTCATATCCAATAGGAAGACAAAGATACATCACAGATTTGAAAAATCCTAAAAAATTAATATAAACTGGATAGAAAATGGCTATTGATGATGATGACAACGATGATCCAGAAAAAAAATTTGCCACGTTTGAAAGATTATGATGAAGAAGAAGACGAAGATGCGAACCTTTACGACTACGATGGCGATTTTTACAAAAACTACAACCAAAGCTTCTACAAAAGCTACAGATTCAGCGACAACCACCACAGCGAGAGCAACGGCAACGATGATTACAACGGCGACAAACGCAACGAAAATGAGTTCATGCAAACGTCATATACCATACGGGATGTCGACAATGACGACGGTGGCGATGATCGTTACCGCTACGACCACAAAATAGCGGTGAATGATAAAGACAGCTACCACCACGGCTACAACAGATTTGATAACGACCAAACGATAGAAGAGAGCTTCGGGTATTTAACTTTGGACAATGTACAGTATTACCATGGAAACGACCATCACCAAACTGCCGGAATTTGCGTGTCGAAAAATGGATCTCTGAAAATTCAAAATGGTTCGAATGCTATCCTTACGATTCAAACAGCACAAATAGTGCTCCAAACAATAGCACTCTCAATAGAAAAAGATGGTAGAGAGTTTTTTACCGATACGAGAAATGGTGTTAACGATATGAGAAATGGTGTTAACGATACGAGAAATGCTCTTAACAATACGAGAAATGCTCTTAACGATACGAGAAATGCTCTTAACGATACTAGAAATGTTGAAGACAATGGCAGCATTAATGAAACTTTTGGCGAGCAAGCATTTAACAGACGATGTTAACACGATGTCTTTGATTATGATTATTCTAGGTGTGTAACATTTGATAATGTTTCTCTTTTGGAGAAACATTCTTGGTTTAGTAATAAAAAAAATTTTTTATTGTTGTTGAAAAAGTGAATTTGATTTTGCCCTAAATAGTACTCACAGATATCATCAGTACTCAGTAATTCAACAAAACACTTAAAAAATTTGCGATGATTTAGGTTTCTAATTGGAATTTTCAACCACCTAACCAACCATTCAACCAAACGAAAATGTCCAGCTAACCATCTAATCAACCAGCCAACCAACCAATCAATCAAACAGGCAATCAATCAATCAATCAGCCAACTAATCAATCAATCAGCCAACTAATCAATCAGTCAACCAGCCAACCAATCAATCAGCCAGCCAATCAACCAGCCAGCCAACCAACCAACCAATCAACCAGCCAACCAATCAATCAACCAGCCAACCAATCAATCAACTAGCCAACCAATCAATCAATCAACCAACCTTTTAAAATGGCCTTAAGTTCCTTGGCAGCCCTCGATGTTGTATACTTATTGACTTGTTCTAAGGCCGTCTGCTCGTACGAGTTCAATCTCGTTGGATCAGAGCCGCACTGTGTAAAATGTTAAGTGGATTGTTTTATTGATTCGTTCGTTCATTCGTTCGTTCGTTCATTCGTTAATTCATTATTTTATTCGTTCGTTCGTTTATTCATTTATTACTTTGCACATTCATTTCTGCTTTCTTTCATTTCTTCATTCATTCATTTTTATTTTGCAGTCAACCAAATTATATATAATTTATCCTCAACTGATCAGTCCTAGACATGTAAGTATATTATAAATTATGCTAATTTATTCAAAACTAACAGCTAGTAGGAGTTTGACGACCTCGACCTTGCCGTACTTGCTAGCTTCATGTAGACAAGTTCCTTGCAATGTTTGTCTGTTTATGTCTATCCCTGCCCTCAACAAACAGCTGTCGAAAAGTAGTAGTAGTAGTAGTAGTAGTAGTAGTAGTAATAGAAGCAGTAGCAGCAGCCACAGCAACAGTAGTAGTGGAAATAGTAGCAGCAACTGTAGTCGTAGAAGTTGTATTTGATGTTTGGACAAACGTAAAAATGTATGTGTGTGTGAATGATCCATTTGTTTTTTATTGATTCTTTCATTCGTTCATCCGTCTATTCATTTCTTCCCCTATCTACTCAAACGTCTATTCATTCGTTCACTCATTCACTCACTCACTCACTCACTCACTCATTCATTCATTCATTCACTCATTCACTCTCTCACTCACTTGATGACGTCAACGTGTCCATTTTTTGCCGCCAAATGCAGACAGGTGGTCTTATCATTATCAATCATGTCGCCAGGACAACTGGCCAGTAACTGTCTCGTGCTTTCTAGCTCTAATAACCTTTCAACCACCTAGTAAAAAGAAATGAAGTGAAGATTTTTAAATGAGTAAAAACAGAGAAGAAAAGAGAGCTAGAAAAAGAGAGAGAGAGAGAGAGAAAAGAAAGACAGACAAAGAGAAAGAAAGACAGAATGAGAGAGGAAAAAAGGAAGAGAGAGAATTTTAAATGAATAAAAATACTTTATTAAATCATCAAATATTCTATCAACAAATGTTTTTTACTTAGTTTCCAATTCCATTCACAGTTTTCATATGTTATACAATATTTTCACCCAAAGTATTACAACCCCTATAATTATTAATTCAATTCAATTATTCACTCATTCATTCATTTATTATAATTCTTTCTTCAACAACAGCAACAAACACACAGTGCACTTTACCGTTACATCGTCATAAATATCAAATATTATTATTATTAAATTTATTATTATTATTATATTTGTTATTAATAATAAAATTATTTAAAAACTGCTGACTTCGATTTTGCCGAATTCACAGGCTAAATCTAGTGGAGTTTTCCTCTGCTTATTCTGCATGCACGGATCCGCGGAATAATCCAACAGGCCTGACACCTGGCGACGAATTTCAGTATATTATAAAGTAATATATTTCATAATACATAATTATGGTATTATTTTAAATATTTTATAGTATAATGATAAGATATTATGAATGAATGAATAAATGAATGAATGAATGAATGTATGGTATAAAGTAATGAACAACAGACGAATGAATGAATAAATAATTGGATGAATGAACGAACAAATAAATGAACGAATTAATTTATGCAAAAAAAAGAACCAACCACAGCCAAATGGCCGTGTTCTGAGGCCAAATGAAGAGCAGTGTTGCCGTCTTGTGAGATTTCGTTGACTCCAGATTTGGCTCTAAGTAGCAGATTGACCAGTAACTCTTTCCCAATCCAAGAGGCATAATGCAATGGTGTCATACCTTGATAATGATAATAATGATGATAATGATGATGATGATGATGATGATGATGATGAAGAAGAGGAAGAAGATGATGATGACGATGATGGTAATAACGATGATGACGACGACGACGATGATGATCACAACTGCTACCTTTACTGTGTACAACAAAAACTACTCTTAGCAAAAACAATAACGAAATATTGCTACTACTACTACTACTGCTGCTGTTGATGCTACTACTACTACTGCTACTACTACTACTGCTGCTGCTGCTACTGCTGCTGCTGCTGCTACTACTACTGCTGCTGCTGCTACTACTACTGCTGCTACTACTAATACCACTGTAATAATAAGAATAATAAAAACAAAGAACAACTAAAATAAAAAATAAGAATAATAAGAACTGTAATAATAAGAATAATAAAAACAAAGAACAACTAAAATAAAAAATGTCTAATGGTAATAATAAATGCATAGTAAACAGTTTCAGAAGAAAGTATGCCGAACATTTTGACCATTAGTTTTGGCTAATGTAAACATACTCATGTATGATGATGATGAAGACGACGACGATGTTGTTGTTGATGATGATGACGTTGTTGTTGTTGTTGATGATGATGATGACGTTTTGTTGTTGTTGTTGTTGATGATGATGATGGTGATGTTGTTAATGTTGTTGTTAATGATGATGATGACGACGATGATGATGTTGTTGTATTGTTGATGATAATTATGTTTTTGATGATGATGATGACGATGATGATGACGACGACGATGATGATGATAGATAAAGACAAACATCAAAAAAAAACGAAACGAAACGAAACAAAATCCTTGAGTGGTGTTGATGATGATGGTGTGGAGATATGTGGTGATGAACATTCGAGGAAAGAATAACTTATGAAATCTGTCACCATCATCATCGTCGTCGTCACCATCATCATCATCATCATCGTCATCATCATCATCAGTACCTTTACAATCTTTGGAATGAACATTAGCTCGGCACTCCATAAGGATCATCATCATCTCCATACTTCCTAAGAGTGCGGCATGATGCAGAGCAGTCATCCTGATAATGATGATGAAGAATGGCGATGATGATGCTGATGCTGACGACGATGGTGATGATGACGATGACATGGATTGATTACGATGATAGTAGTGATAGTGATTTTAAAAAAAGTAAATTTTCAACATCGTCATTCGGACTATATCGAAAAAGCAAGGCGATCATTCATTCATTCATACATTCACTCATTCATACATTCATTCATTCATACATTCACTCACATATTTATTAATTCACTCACTCACTCATCCATCCATCCATCCATCCATGCATTATGACTCACATATAAACTTCAGCAAAAGGTCTGCAATTTGTAAGCTCCATCTAACACATTATGAAAGATTTTCATGCTCTCTCTTTCTTTCTCTCTCTCTTTCTCTCTCTCTCTCTCTCTCTCTTTCTCTCTCTGTCTCTCTCTTTCTCTCTTTCTTTCTCCGTTTCTCTTACTTTTTTATCTTCTCATTATATACATAGTCATTATACTTTTTATTTTTTCCAATCTTACATACAAACATACACATACAAGCACACGCACACAACGCACATACAAAAACATACATACATGCGCACGTAC